AAGGACATGTTTCATTTTTTTTTCTTGAAGGCCGAGAGTAAAGAAAAAACAGGTTTCACCGGTAGACCTTGAAACCAACCCTAGAATCGCCAAGGCCAGAATCAACCTTCATAGGGTAGGTTACGGTTCCAAAAACATGGAACCTACCCTATAAGGCTCAATTCTAGGTTATGCCATGGAACCGAACCGACCCAACCCATGCTCACCCCTAAGTTTAGGGTCTTGATTTGATTGGCTGCACTTTGTAGACCGGTTTATGGGTCAGGTAGCCCAATGGGCTAGCCCAACCAATTCATTCTTTATCAGGTTTGGACATAATTTTAGACTTATGGGTTTGGACTCAAAGCATTAGGCTCGACTATTTTTTTTTTTTCAAGTTAGGCTTGATAGTTCTTAATTAAGCCCAACTCAAGCTTGAGCCCAGCCTAATAATATCATATATATATATATTAATAATATATTTTAGGGGTTTTTATAGTTCAGTCCACCCCTAGGGTGAAGCTAAAATTTCTAGGGGTTTTTATAGGGAGCTACTAATAGACTAGGGGGGGCTGCAATTCAAATTTCTGAGATAGATTGCAGTCCACTTATCCCTATATTTATTTTAATATATTTGCTAGCCCTAATCCATTTCCTTCCAGCGGCTGATGGTACCCATCCACAGCGACAAGCACCTCACCCACGCTACCAGCAGCACTTTACCCATCTCTCCACCATAGGTGGATGAGTTGTAAAAATGAATTCTAATGTACTAAAGAGATTATGTACTTGAATTGTAAGACATAGTTGCATTTATTATCTCCATTCACCAAAGATATTTCACTGTGTATGAAAGAAAACAACTCAGTTTTGCATCATGACTGATTCGACCAATATTTCTAAGATTTTGATATTTATATATTAGCAAGCTATCTTGTGACGTTATCACCCTAATCCCTAAAGCTTTTATATAATCCTTCTTAGTTTTCCATTTTCCAGTTCAATGTGATCATGGTTTGGTTCTTTAATTTCCAAGCTTTAGAATCCTCTCAAATCAAGCTATCTTTATACCTCACCTTTGAAGTACAAATGGTACAACAACAAGCATAATGGTCATGTTGCCAGTTTTGAGAGGAGAGTCACTCGAGGATTGTTTGGTCATGACAAATGTATAGATACCCTTTGAATCCATCATACCATGGTTTTTGAACTGCTGTTGACTCAAAAGGTTGAACCATTTGGCTTGAGAACTGTTTAGGAAATTGGTTCCGTTCTACCTCAAATCTGGTCCTTAGCCAAAAACTATTGAATTGGTTAACGATCTGTTGATTCAGATAGTCGAACCATATCAACCTGTTCGATGATTTTTAGCCATTTTTTATTTTTTAATTTTTTATCAGAATAGGCCATTTATTCGAATCAAAYGGTCATACTGTTAACCCAAAAACCGGTGGCCAGAATAGTTCTGGACCTTTTGGTTTCGGGTCGCTTTTTAAAACATTGCACCATACTGTATGTCACCCTTTGAATCAGGCATGGATAAAAAGCACAAGGAGGCCTCTTTTGGGCATCATACTGAACCTGGTAACATGAAGAGCAAACAAAGTGTTACAAAAATGCAACTCTTTTGGTGTTTTGCATCAGCTTCTATACGTAAGATACTGTCCTCCAACTTCATGGGACAGGTCTTACTCCGAAACTCATATCCTTGTTGCACTCAGATTTCAAAATGGTTAAGCAAATGATACCACCCAGATTTTGGGTGCTTTTAACTTATTTCTTTGTTTTGATACAAAATACATATACTGCACTAAGATCATGGTTTTTAAAACCGATTCAGAGATCGAATCGGTCAGGGGTTCGTTATCGGGTCAAATGGTTCAACCGTTTGAACCGAATGGTCGGTCCATTCTGACAAAACAATAAAAAATTTAAAAAAATAAAAAATAAAAACAGTCAAAACTGTTCAAACAGTTAACTGCCCGGGTCAGCGGTTTACTAACCAAAATCAACGATTTTTTTAGAAAATCCGATTTTGGGGAAAATCAAAACCGGTCACCTGACCAGTTCTTGGTTTTTCTGGTCTGGTCGTTCGGTTCGGTCCGATTTTGAAAACCACGACTAAGATAGTTGCATTATGTGCACCGAAATGCAGCAGCTGAATACTTCTTTAGGCTGTTTTTGGTTATAATGCAATTTTATTTGTACTATTATATTATAAATGCATGGGAGTGCAAATATAAAAAATGCAAATTTTTGTTTAATTTTATTTTAGATTTTATTTTATTCTGCTTCATGTCTTAATTTACTTCATCAAATAAAATAAGTTAAAATTTGAAACAAAAATAGATTAGAATTTACACTCAAATCACTTGTACTGTTATTGTTTTGCATCAATGCAAAATTATTTGCGTTGCAACCAAACACAGCCTTAATGGTTGATTTGGTTCAGTTATCTCAAAGACGATCATTTGTTCTTAAAATGGTTGTAGATTTTCTGTAGTGAAACGACATTTTGGACATGTAATACAAAATTTATATTCTATAACCAGTATGAACCTCTTTAATTGTCCAGAGAGCAGGTTTTTGGCCAAATGTGACATGCTGTCAGTACTTGCCTTGCATTAATGTATTTAGGTTGTCCAAGCTCCAGTGGAAGCTTCATGGCTCCTTTCAAGTTTCAAGCATCCCTCGTCACTTTATCAGTAACGGGACAGGTTTATTTTATTTTATTTTTTGTTCAGATAAATAAAACAAGCACACTACTAACAGAAAGAGGCAATAAATGGTTCAATACAGCGAGGTCTGCTCCAACTAAAAGACATAAGATGAGAAGTTCTTAACTAACTGAGCTATACAATGAGAAAAAAAAAAAGAACTCCCCGCAAGTGTTAATAACATCTATACAGTTAAAACAGTCCAAGAGAGCTGAGGTGATCCAGTATCCAAAAAAACCTATCAACAGATTTCACATAAAAAAGGATCAGAATAGAATTCCACTTATGATCTCTAGCCATCTCCAACGCCGATTTCACACCAAAAAGGGATTGCCTGAGCAAAACATCTTGCCACCTGCAGCCTGAATGAAAGATTTATCCGAATTAAAAACACATAAACCAAAAGAGATCCCCACTCCCTGGATCACACCCCCATCACATCTAACGGTGGCTTCAAAGAAATTCATAGGACAGATAAACCCAATTGTCTGAAGTAATTGAAGTAGGGGCCTGGAACTTCAGCAACAAATCAGAAGGAGCAGTCAATTCCACAAAAATATTTTCCTAACTGGAGATAGAATCCAAAGCACAGACCTCAGTATTATTAAAAATTAAATCATTTCCAACCATCCAAATGAAATAAAAAAGCTATAGCCAACCAATTTAAAAATCTTTTCAATATCTTAATTTGACTTAGCCTGTTCAAGATCTTCGTAAAAAAAAAAAAAAAATCCATAAAAAGAGTCACATTCCAGATGATTTAGAGCCAAACCCCAAGGAGAAGCAAACAACAGAGCCTTCACAAAACGGACAAAAACAGAACAAATGGAGGATAGACTCCTCTTCAGCCTTGCAACACAAGCACACTCAATTATCATTTAAACCAAAATCAGCTAACCTAGCTTTAGTACAAATAAAACCCCTGGTTAATCATCACAGAAAAGTTCGAATTTTGGAGGGATCAATTTCCATATTTTCCTGCCAACTCTCAACAATTTTTCATCCAGACTAGTATTAAGGCTATGTTTGGTTTCCCTGTATTTCCCTTCCTTTCCCTACCTTTTCCTTCAAACCAAACATAGCCTGAGTCTTCCAGACACGTTGGGCACATGTTTTCATTTGGCCTTGTTTGGAAAATGTAGAACCAACAAAGGGATCTCAGTTTACCAGAATATGAGAATCAATACATCACTTTCATAGTTTAAAGTTTAAACTTTAAACAAGTGAGACCATATCTGAACTTACCTGTAAATGATCTTGTTGACATCCTTCCTCATGTCAGTTGATTAATTCTGTGTCTTGGTTGGTCTTAGGGGCCACCATGGTTCTCTGAAACATCCCAGTATATGCACAACTACATCCAATAACATACGTTTCAACTCAGCTTCTAGGAAAATTGGTGATAGGATCTCAGTGAAATGTGAACAAACCAGTGGTGTGTTTGCATTTCATCCAATAGCAGATTTTTCTCCTGGATATGGACCTATCCTTAAGCATTTTTTTGCCAAGTGGCTGCTCTCAGACGCAAACCCGTTTTCTCAAATTTGTACTTTACCATTACACCAAGCAATGACCCCTCGTTGTGTTCATGTTCAAAAGAAAACTGTAAAAATGTAGGCAGGAAATGATCTCTATTCTCGGCTCAGATAGGCTAAGATTTCCTTTTCAATCAGGGCACGAGTCTTCGTTTTCCAATTTTAATAGTATATCTCTCAAGTTCCATATGAACCCGTATCGATTCTGTACCTATTGATCAAGGGGCTATTTGATTATGGCTTAAGTGGCCGAAATAACTCTTCCTCTGTTTCTTCGGTACTTTCTTCAGAGATAAATTATTAATGATTTGATGAATATAACTTGCAGGTTGATAGGATTTTATCAAATGTCAAGATCATCACAGAACTTGGACCTACAAGTTTTATTCCTTGAATTCGCCGTTCTGAAACTAGAAACAAGATAAAGTGAAAATATTTCTGTATTTATGTTTCTTATGGTCCTCAAATGGTTTCAACTTTCAACTACTTGTTTGCTTACTAGTGGTCCTTTTTATTTGTTTTGTCATTCTGTAGATTTTGGATTTCCAATCGGCAATTGCAGTTTGCAAAAACAGAGGCAGTTGAAGAATATGAAACGCTTGCCTCTTGTTAAGAGTTAAGAGCTGCACTGGGACCTTCAAAGTTCGTGACTGGATCAGGTGAGATGCTCTTCTGAAGTTTGTTCTCTGACAGTGGAAGGTTCGGCCTAGCTAGAACATACAAATGTTTCGGTTTCTTTACTAAATTTTGCACTCTTAAAATTTGGTTGTAAGACAACACCACCCGTTGTATATTAGTAAAAAGGAAAAGAAAGAAAGAAAAAGAAATAAGAGAGGAAAAACAAAAGAAGAACATGGTCGCCGAATGAGGCGAACAATACAGAGCAGATAAGCCTAACAAAAGACAAGAAACAGAAATCCCGGTCTCTAACAGATACAAATCAATCAACAGCAATTTTCAGCTGTTTGTCGTTGAATATCTTAACAAGGAGGAAGATCAGCTGGAGGAGGCTCTAAAGACTGCAACTCCCCGACTCCATTCTCTACCAGGAAGGCCATAGCCAATCCCCAGGTGATGTGAATGTCCAAGTGACAATGCATCAGCCAAACTCCTGTTTTTTTTTTTTTTTTCCCAAATAAAATAAATGAACACATCAGATTGGTGGAACTATAATTGAAGATACAGAGGAGGTAATACCAAATAAGAACATAATTAGAGTTGGTGTTTTACCTGGATTATCAGCAACAAATCTGATCACTGCCCATCCATTCACTGGAACTGCAACAGTATTCCTCATTGGTGGATCGACAAGATTGAACTTAGCCGTGTCAGTTTGCGGATTGAAATTCCCAAAGCCCTCTGCAACAATGTAGAAATCATATCCATGGATATGAATTGGGTGGTTCTCGGCTGAGAAGATACTTGTACCCTGTAATACAAGTTGCACCCTCGAACCAAACTTGAGTTTGTACACCTTGGTTCCTGGAACAGGCTGCCATAGCGCTCGGCTGACGTTGCCGGTGTAGTCGAACTGAACTGGTGGGACAGCAGGGAAGTCGGTGGTGTAAACTCCTGGGATGCCTTGTTGGTAAGCTTGCAGTATAGAGAAGTTGGATGGGAGCACGAAAGAGACATTATTCATGCTAGCAGTAAAGCGGGTGCCATTTGGGCCTTGACATCTACTCCGGCTGAACCTGGGTGGACAGTTGAAGAGGCCTAGGCCTACCGTGAAGAAAAGGTTCTCATCAATGTCGGTGGGGACATCAACCTTGGATGGACTCTTGAGTCCGGCTGCGAAGGCGGTGGCTGTGGGAGTGTCGTTGTAGGCAGGCAACAACGGGAAGACGGGTTGCACGGACAACCCCTTCTTCGGGCAGGGGGCACTCTTGTACTCAAGGATGGCAGTGGGGGTGGTGTTATCGAATGCTGCATTCTGAGCACTCTGGTAAGCACGCGCAGCTATGTAGTATCGGCCGGGTGGCTGATTGGTGTTGATGAGGACGTCAGTGGTCTGGCCCGGTCCCAGCATCAGGACCGAGGTGGTGAAAGGTTTTGTATAGGAAGCATCGGCGGCAACGACAGTCATCTGGTGGTTGGCAACGGTGAAGAAGAGCTCTTGATTTAATGCCGCGTTAATGACTCTGAGAAGGTTGGTCTCGCCGGAGTCCACCGGAATTATCACAGTATCTGCATGGTAATCACTGGTCAGATCAGTAAGCTTTCGTTTTGACTTGCTACCCACAAAATTCTTAAAAACAGCAGCAACAACAATAAGTGGAGCAATGGATGTGTGATCCACCCAGAGGGGTACCTTGCTGACCTCTGGGTGGGGGCTTGGATTGGCCACATCATCCTTCCACGTGGTAAAATATGGCAGGTAATGTCATGAAGCTCCTTAATTACTTAATTGCTCGGACTAGAGATATAGAAAAAGAACCCCAATCAAGTCATACCTTATTTAGGCCATATATATATAATATGAAGGGATGATATGGCAGATTTGAACTGCCCTAAGGGAACTTTTTTGTATTTGCCAACTGTCAAGTCTTTCGGTCCACGTCAGCTTAATTTGTGCTCCACATTGTATAGGTGGTGTTCCCAACAAATATTAACTCTTCAAAGTTTGAAACAAATTAATTGCCTTAACTTTTTGTTTCTCTACTTTTTATATCTTTTTTCCCCAAACCAAACCAAATCCTATATAGTGACAAATGAGCTTCAATCGGCCCCCAAGCCAGTCTATGAAAATGAAATATATTATTTTATGAAACAACTGCAAAAGGTCTACGTGTACTTAGTACTCACTAGTTACTAGTTACTACTTAATATAAAAAAGAAAAAGAAAAAAAAAACGTCTACGGGGTCAGTAGCTGGTTATTAGTTAGTGAGAAATTAAAAACAGACCTTGGGCGGAGCAGTTGTAGAGGTCACCGGGTTGACCATTGATGGTATATGCATCAGACACATTTGGAGCTGCTCCTGTTCGGGTTGCTTGCCGCACGACGTCAATGGGGTTGGCATCCCACCATTCACCTGCTCATCATACACTCAATTGACCACCCTGATCACTTCAATTATCATTTCAGTATGAAATTAATTATGAAATCCTAGCTACTTATCTCTGTCATCAGTCCGAGCCCATCAAAGTTATAATATAACCAGAGTGATTAGTTCCTTTAATATGAGAACCAAATAGAAGATAGAGAATTGAACTACATATATGTTACGTACCAAGAAGAATGGGTGCTTCACGCCTGGGCTTAGTGAATGGGTAGGAAGAACCCAGTCTGGGGTAGATAATTAGAGCTCCATAAACAGTGGCTCTGAGCCATGAACTATGAGCATGCCACCACAGTGTTCCTTCTTGTCCCTCGATCGTGAACCGATAAGTGTATCGTCCTCCTGGTTGGATGGGGCACTGAGTAACAAATTCTGGCCCATCCGCCCACCCAGTTCGCATTTGACGAATGCCATGCCTGAAGGAGAAGAAGAAGACAGACAGACAGACAGACAGAAGAATAAGAAATAGATTATCACTGTGATTATATGTGTATGAGTACTTATGCAAGGTGGCATTTACCAGTGGAGCGTAACATTGTATCTGGCTCGGTTTACAACGTTGATGACTAGTGTGTCCCCATTTCTTACTTCCAAGGTTGGCCCTGGATATTGTCCATTAACCGTAATTATGTTGTGGGTTTTGCACAGCCTCTTCACTGGCGTTGCTTGAACCTGTTTCAATTCAATTATCAGAAAAATACTATGTTTTACTGCAACAAGAAGAAGAAGAAGAAGAAGAAGAAGACATACAACGAAGTCATGGTAATGAGTTTCTGGGTTCGCCAAGGACACGGGCTCAGAAGCAAAGAGGAGTAGAAGGCCTAGAAAGAAGCACCATGGCTTGACACTGATGTAAAATTCCATCCTTTACTAAGTCCTTGTATTGAAGGAAAGGTAAGGTGGTAATGCAGGAGAGACTAAGAAAGGCTCCTTTATATGACATTAAAATAGGGAGGAAAGAGAGTGGTTTTGAGGTTGGCAGATTAGGTTTTGATTTTTAAGGCATGGTTAAATCCTAGGGGAGTTGGTGCACCCACTAGCCTATCAGAAGTTGAGAATTTCATTAGTTCTTGCCTCAGAAGTCTTCCAAATGGGTTGGATTTCAATTTTCAACAAAACATAATTATTATTATTTTTTATTCCATTGATGTAGGTATAGTCTTTATTTTTGGTAATTGATGAACAATATTTTTTCACTTGAGCCTTCCTTTGGTCACAGACAAAAGAATGAAATCTTATTCATCACTTTCTACTCTTATGTCAAGCAGAGAATATATATATATATATATAGTCAAAGTCATTTTTCATTTTTAAAAGAAATTAACCTCTCCATTCTCACACCTGCGGTTTGTTGAATTGGATGTGGTTGAGGTGATATCTGGTTAAATTAATAAGGGAGCAAAAGCAATCTTAAATTAATTAATTTTTTTTTCTTTTATTTTTGCTTTCAAGTGCCATTTTGGCCTTTTCATTTGCATGGATGGTATAGATTAAAAGAGGGAGAACCTCCAAGGTCTGAAGTGAAATTAAATCCTCCACACATTATAATTTGAGTCTGATCTGATGCCAACCATCATCAATAGGATTAGGTTTGAATTGATCATGCATGGCCCACCAAATCATAGTTGGGACCGTCCAACCTACAGGCATCTAAACAGGAACAACTTCATAAACTCAACTTAGCTTTATCGTGTTGAGTGTTCATATTGTTAACAAATAACAACTTAGCTTTATGGTTGCCTTTCAAATGATAAGTCTAGTGGGTTAGGTTATACGTAGACCTAGCACAAAGCTTGGACTAAAGACTCTCCGTCTATATTAAACAATAGCCGCGTCATTGTCTCGACCTTCATCCTTTTATTTTGGTATATACATAATTATTCGGTTACAGGTAATTAAGCAGTTAAGCTAACAACTTTTACATTGATTAATTTACCATAAACACGCTTAATTAATACGCTAAAAGTCTTAAGATTGATGGAATGCGTTAAGTCAATAGCACTTTAACATCTAGGACCATAATAGATAATTTATCGACTGTCATTAGAAAGTTGAAAACTTTGTTCTTTATGGAGATTAACATATTTGAACAGGCCAATCTGAACCAAGCTTCAATGGGTTGTATGACCTTATGGCATTGTGGGCTACATTATTTTACCTTCCATGGTTTAATTTGAGTTCCAACGAGTTCACATCTGTGCCCGCTCTGTATTGGAAATATTTTTCGATGATGACATTATCATTTTTGATACTATCATCGGAAGATATTCTCAATACACGGCGGGGATGTGCTATAGAACACTGTAGGGCCCTTATGGGGCATCTGAAATCGGCTGCAACATGAAAGCCACTGATCTCATCCATATCATTTTGGGCTATCTAATAGAGTTGAGATCTGCAACCCACAAAACATTACAGTCCCATATCAGAAACATTTCTTCATGAATGACTACATATAAAGTCGGCGTTCCTGTGGGCTTTAAGGATGCTTGAATTGAAAAAATGAGCAATAAATTCAAGCCCAAAGAGATTTTTTTTTTTTTCAGGCAAATGAGAAGCCCCAATTGGTCTTTAAAGTCAATACGCCATACGTTAAACATGATGGTAGCAAAATTTCAAAGGAATGATAAGAAGAGAAATCGAAAATTCTGATCTTAAGTTTCTTACAGCCCAAGTAAACATGATTTTCTCTTCAAAAACTGCTTTAGGGTGTTTCTGCAAAGTGAGTGGCAACCGTTAAATCTCTTCCCTTGAAAGGAAGTTTAGATTGAGAGAGAGAGAGAGAGAGTTAGGATTAGTTGGGTGAACAAGAATAGAAATAAATAACAATTAGGTAAGAAAATGAAAGTTCGTTATCGACTTGAAATTGAGGTTCTGAAAAAGGAAACAGTGAAAATGTGATGTCTGTCTTGCAACTTTTTCCACTTATCTTTCCTTTCTGGTGGTGGTTAGGCTCCCATCTCGCATGCTTTATTTTTCTAACAATCTACTTCACAATTTCAAGATAAAAATCCACAACGAAGCACCAGAAAAGATTTCCTAGTTTGCTAACTTAACTAACACACACACATTCATTAGCTAACAATATTTTCATCCGTACAGTGTTTTTAAGGGTCCTACCACGCTACCACCATGATGGAATATGGTCATTAGGTCATGCTTTTTAGGTTACAATTTAGTGAATAGAGGAGTGCTAACTTAGCAAGAACGATGATGAATGTTTAGAGGTAGCCATCCTGTACTTAAATCCCTCAACTTTGTTTGTGAGAAACACCTCTTTGAACTTTAAGATTACAGTACTTTGCCCTCTTACCAATTAATGGGATTGATTTGAAGATAAAAATTATGAAACGCATTCAAGATTCTATGTACTGATAAGTGATAACAACACATATCTAAGTGATGAAAATAACCATTCTGAAATATAAATCGTTGTAATGGTGTTGCCAAACCCACCATTCTCAAGGTTTTTTCAAGATGAAAGGAAATTTGAAGGACATCAGAGAAATAGGATTTTAAAATAACCAAGTTAAAACGATAAAATGATCTCATAAATTAATATAAGAGTAGTTTGGAGTTTTTGATACGTCTCCGTATCAGTTTTGCACAACTTCGAGCGCGTGCGGACTCCGGGAGAAGAAGAATAGAAGGGAAGGGACGAACAACGAATGAAAGAGGGAAGGAGATTATTATTATTATGCTAGCTTGATCTTCCAATACAATCATAGCTATTTAAATACTTCCACAAAGCATCCTTCCTTAATTAACTCACTGGTAATAAAAGTAAATCTCTCCTAAA